TTAAAATGGGCCCGTGCATATAAACACAAGTAGAATCTGAGTAAGGCCTATAGTTAATTGATTGTATTGCCAATTTCCTGGCTTTGATAGTTTTCTATAGTTTTGTAAAGATGTTAGGATTGGAAGGAGCTGGGGCAAGCATACATGGGCCCTGTATAACTCTCTGTGAGTGTATAATTTTTTCAAAGTAAAAATTAAACTGTTGGGACAGAAATCAGATCAGTTGTTGCCTGTGTCTGAGGGAGTGGAGGTGGGGATTGACTTCAGTGAGAACTTTTTGAAGTGATGAGAATATTGTACCTCTTGATTGTGTCAGTGTTTACTATATACCTTTGTTATAACTTATAGAACTGCATACCTAAAAAGGTCAATTTTACTTCTATATAAATTATACCTTGGCGAGCCTGACTTAAAAAAAAGAAAAGCAAGCTCTTGTCACCCTAGCCTACTGTTGTCTAGAGGGTGAAATTTAACTATCATGTAAGGCCCAACAGTCTTATCCACACAATAACTTTCCTTTCCTCTGTCTGTGTACTCTGCTCTCTTGTACTAGACTGATACCTGCATCCTGGCCTTTGCATATGTATGCTCTCGCATCTGCTTGGAGGGAGCACAGGAAATACAGTTCGAATTCAAATTCCCTGCACTTCGTTTAACCTGCCTTGCCTCTCAGGCACACCAGTATCTTCCTTCTCCGTGTTTACTTACGCTGTGCTGTAATTTTTAATTAGGTTTCATCTCCTCTCAGCTAAACTCTTTCAGGACAGGCAGCATGTTTTGTTTCTGTTGACGGGATCTAGTGGTGTTGAATGAATGAATGAATGAATGATTTGAAGGTGGAAGAAAGCTTTTAAAAACGTTCTCAAAATGTGTTGTAGAGCCCTCGAGACCCTTTTTAAAAGGTCAGTGAAGTGTTTGAGTTTTCTTGTATACTTGAAACAGCACACCTCAATAGATTGAATGTAGAAACAGATAAGAGAATCCAATTGTCTTCAGTTAAGCCAAACATTGAAGGCATTTGCAAAAATGTGAAACAGTGTCACACTTCCAAATTTTTCTTCTTTTCAAAAAGTTAAAAACACTTGTTACTAAGAAATAGTTTTATTTTAAGACATTAAAAAGTCGATGGATATAATATACATTATAAAAAGTTATTTGGCATCTTCAATAATTTTAAGACTGTAAAGCTGTTCTGAGGCCAAAGGTTTGAGAATCTCTGCCTTAGAGACTTAAGTTACAGGCTCCCCGCTGTTCAAATGAGAAATGATAATGATGCTGACATTGAAGTAGTGCTGTGGTACAAGCACTTTACTAGTGGGCACTATTATATCTTCATTTTACTCATAGGGCAAGTAAGGCACAGAGAAGTTAACTGACCTGACCACGTACGTACCTAGTCACTGGTGGAGTCGGGAGTAGAGCTCCTATGTGTTCCAGAGGCCCTGCTGCCAACTACGGTTTTCTGCCTGGAGTCCTGGAAAGGGTCCGACTCAGGTCCGGTTATCTCTGTGCTCTCCACCGACCTCACAGTTCTTGTGCAAGAATCACATCCCCTACTTCCCTTGAACTTGCTTTACAGTTTTCATTTCAAACTCTGCGACCTTGAGTATTTTCAAGCTTTGCCTTGCAATACCTTGATTTCAAATCTAACCATGTGCACCTGCCCTTAAACTACCCACTTCTCTATCCTGGGCTCTAACATATGACTTCCTGTTTTATTGTCTTCCTGTTTTATTGTTAACTATTTGTTTTTCCAGTTTTTTAAAGATTTTATTTATTTATCTTTAAAGGGGAAGGGAAGGAGAGAGGGAGAGAAATATCTGTGTATGGTTGCCTCTCATGTGTCCCCTGCTGGCAACTGGCCTGCAACCCAGGCACGTGCCCTGACTGGGAATCAAACCGCAGTTGTTTGGTTTGCAGGCCCGCTCAATCCAATGAGCTACACCAGCCAGGCCTGATTTATTCTTTTACTTCTTTAGGAGCCCAATCTCTTGATCTTTCCACTTGGCTTTTTTTTTCTTTCCCTTTTAACTCGTTTTCCTCGTGGTCCAATGGGTACCCTGTGTACTATTCTTTTTTAAGTCAACAACTTTTATTATCCCTCACCTAATTCATAGAAAAGGGACTGTGGCGAATGGTTCAGGGTGGAATGAAAAAAATGCAGATTTGAACACATCTGCCTGTTTACATCTGGGAGCAGGCTCTCCCTGACGTAAGTCTGGTGCTCTTTTGTAGACACAGCCCAGAGTGCATAGGCACAGCCCTCAGGGCAGCAGGATCAGCTGCTCTTGCAGGGGGTGCATTTGTACTCTGCATTTATGGGAGCCAGCACAAGGGCGGGGTCCAGCAGTGGGACAGGAGCATCTGGGGTCCATTTTGAGCAGGGGTGAGGCAGGAGGTCCAAAACAGGCACAGAGTCACATGTGCTGTTGTTATGTGGTATCTCAAACTATTATCATTCATAACCCTCAACACTTTAGGACCTTTATTCTCAAGGTGCACCAGCTCTGCAAAACTCCCGGTCCTGAATCAATTGCATGACTCAATTTCTCCCCACCTATACCCTGTTGGGTTTAGAACACTGTAAAAAAAAAAAAAAAAAAGGTATGTACACATGGTGGAGGACAGGCTGCTACAAAATCTAGTAGGTCAACTTCAGTCCTTATCTTTGATCAGCACCCTCTGCCCTCACTCCCCAAAGAACTGAGATGTCCTTTTCCTAGTTAAATCTTACCTCTGCTTATGATCTCACTTCATGGCCACGCTCCTTCAGCCACCCCCTCTGCATCTGTACTTCCGACCACTTAGCCTCCCTTGGTTCATTTCCCTTGGCTGAAAAAAGTTCTTAAAACCTGCACTCCATCTGGTTACTGCCCTGGTTTCTTTATAGTCAAACCCCTTGAAAGAATTGTTGCTAGTCTTCCTCAGCTTTATAACCTGAGTCATTTGGTTGCATGGCTTTTGATGCTGTGGCCCCTCACCTTCTATGACACCACATTTATCTCCCCTCCCGTGTTCGTGCTCTTCCCGTGTCCTCTTACTGGGTTGGGAGGAGTCACTGTCGGCTCAGTTGGTCACCCAAGATGGAACCCAACTCTCGTCCTAGACTTCCCTCCCACTTGTCTTCTACAGCCAATCAGCAACCAGTGTGGGTTTACTCTTTAGGCATTGGTCAGGTTCACCCCCACACGTTTCCACAGCCACCAAACCATTCCAGGCTCTTCAAGACTCAGAGGGATCTTGGCACCTCGTCACCCGCCATGCTCCCTCCCATTGTCCTTCCCCCTGCTTTCCAGTTAGCTTTGTTTCCTTTCTGACTAGGTGTTTAAACCCGTGAATGTTATACATGCTCATTGGGGGAAATTGAGAAAGTACAAAACAAAAAATTAAAAGTCACTTAAAACCTTACCACCCAGAGAAAATTATTGTTATATTTTGATGTGTTTCCTTTCTAGAGTTACTGTTCAGAATCATAAATTGGATCATAGTATTCCACCGCTTAATGCCCTCTGTGGCTCACTCTCAGTGACCCCCATCTCTTACAGACTAACTCAAATTCCCACCAGAGTCTGAAGTCCTTGGAGGGTCTGCCTCTCCTCCAGCTTGTCTTCTACCCACAGTGTGGTCAGCCTTGGACAGGTTGCCCTGGGAGCAGGGTGGGCTTCTTTTCTGCCTCTGGAATGTGTGTACCTGATTTGCCATATGACAAACTTAATTTAAAGTCATCTCAGAGAATCCTTGCCCGAACACTCTACCTAATATTAAGGCCTTCCCTCGCTGTTTTTTTTATCTTGTTTTTATTTCCTTTCCATATATTTTTAATCCTCACTTGAGGATGCACCCACTGCTTTTAGAGGGCGGGGAAGGGAAGAGGAAAGAGAAACGGGCTGCCTCTCCTAGGAGCTCTGACCAGGAACTGAACCTGTAGCCCTACAGTTTACAGGATGACACTCCAACCAACTGAGCCACACTAGCCAGGGCTATTTCCTTAATATTTACTTACATAAATTACTACAACCATTCCAAAACAAAGTGTCAAGAGCCATAGACTTGGCCATTCTTTCACAGAGCAATCCACCTTCAACTCATTCATTCAATTTAAACCATGATCAACAGCCCTGGTTGGGTGGGTCAGTTCCCAGTCAGGGCGCATGCGTGGGCTGCTGGTTCAGTCCCTGGTCACGGCACATAAGGGAGGCAACCAATCAGTGTTTCTCCCTTCCTCTTTCCCTAAAATCAGTAAATACATACTTGAGTGAGGATAAGGAAAATTTTTAAAAATCATGTGACATGCAAAGATTTTAGATACAAGGATGTTTATCACAGTGTCCTTTTTAATATTTGAAATTGAAGACAACCTAAATAAATTATGTTTTATTCATACCCATAGTAGCTAGAAACATATTTGTGGTCTATTTTCACTATAAAAAGCAGGTTTCAAGCACCCTGATCCCTTTGTAAGTGATGCGTATATAGCATGATGCCATTTTTGTTTTTTTAATAAAGCAAATACATAAAAAAACTGGATGGACGTCAGACTCTTGGAGATCAATATGCACAATGTATGTTATTTGTTCAATTTACACATTTACTGAAAGGACATAGAATGAGAAAACCATCCTCGAAGTGTTGACATTCTGGTGACAATTTAATTGCTGTTCTGGTGAGTGCTGAGGGTGTCTGGAGAATTTATGTGAATGAGAAGGGCCTTGTTCCTTTTAGTTTTGAACTTTTCTATAACGAACATGTGCCAGCTTCATAGTACTTTTGTTTATTTTTTTCTTTATGTCTAAAGCAGCTTGGCCTTGCGATAAGTGGGAGGTACAAGGTGGTAGGTTCGTAGAGGGGCCCAGAGTAAAGGGAATGTTTCAGACTTTTTGAAACGGGAGAGTCCAGTGTGTTTAGAGACGAGGGGAAGAAGCGTGTGTCCCTGCTGTGTGCTAGTGGGTGGGGGGGCAGGGGGAGGGGAGGAGCCCGGCTGTGGGCAGCTCTCACCGGGAGGCTGCACCTCACTCTCTACTGACAGTCTTCAGTAGAGAGAAAGTCGGTTGGGTAACGCAGGAACCTGTGGCAGTCATGCCTGGTGTTCTTCATTTTCTCAAAATGGGAGGTAAGGTTATGCCATTTTTGTGCCTCAGTGCTGCCTGGTAAGTTTCTACTCCTGCCTCCTTTAAAAATCAGCGATGCATCCCTGCCTTTGGGGACCATTTCCTGACCCCTTCCTTGTAGTGTGCTCGGGCCACTGCCAGTAGAATCACCCTGGTGGGGGGCTGGGGAGAGGGCCCGCTCCTTGGGGCTTCAGAGCCCTTGAAGACTCAGACTTCCTGGTTCAAAGTTTCCGAGGGGCGGGGCCCGGAGATCTGGGTTTGAAAGAACACCCACGGGGATCCTAATGGTGCAGTGAAGCTGGAAACCCCCACTAAGTGCTCCCGATTCATTTTACACTTCTCCATTATTGCAATTAAACTCTCTGCCCACCAGGCTGCCCTTGGGAGGTAGTGTCTCTTCATTTACATACTTCTAGTGCAGCTCTGCCCTGGGCTACCGCAGTGGGCTTTGGGTGCTTGTTTGTGAAATGAGCGATGTGTCCAAAATGGGAGCCCAGGGGTCCTGATCCCCAGATCCACGGTTTCCCCTGTCACATCACGTTTTATCTCCATAACAACCAAATTCTTTGTGAAAGCATTTCCTGCTCCAACTATGCGTAAAAATCATGCACCGATGTCGAAACCTCAAGTCCATGCAGGACTGGGAAGAATGGGATTTATGGAGGATTGGTGGCTCTAAGGAAAGTCAGAGACTGAGGCCCTCTGGTAGTCAAGTGAGGAGAATCAACACAAGGAGGATGAGCCAGCAAGCCCCTGCAGCCTGTGTTGATTCTAAGTATGTCACCCAAGTTTCCCCCAAACCCAGCAAGGAGTTAAAACGTATTCTGGAAGAGCCCTTGGCTGGTGGGGCTCAGTTGGCTGGGTGTCATCCTATAAAGTGAAAGGTCGCCGTCTCAACTGAAAGTCAGGGCACATGCCTGGGTCGTGGGTTTGGTCGCTGGTCAGAGAGCAAACAAGAGAAACCACCAACGTTTCACACATCAACATCCTCTTTCTCTCTCCCTTACCCTCTCTGTAAACATAAATAAATAAAATCTTTAAAAAATTAAAAAATAGCCCTGGTTGATTAGTGAGTTGAAGGGTCACGGGTTCGATTCCCAGTCAGCACACATGCCTAGCCTGGGGGCCAGGTCCTTGACTGGGAGTGTGCGAGAGGCAGCCAACTGATGTTTCTCTCACGTTGATGCTTCTCTCCCTCTCTTTGTCCCTCCCTTCCCCTTTGTCTGAAAATAAATAAAATCTTTTTAAAAATTAGAAAATAATTATGAAAACTTACTCTGGAAGAGAGCCTTGGGATGATACATGGAGGTGGGTCCTTACAGGTAGAATGAGTCATAACAAGGCTTGTGTGTGGCTTGCATGGAGACATTATAGTTTGCAATCCCACACTATCCAAGGATAAAGATGCTCAGATACTATTGGCTAATGCTGTTCATGTAGAGAGAATGAGTGAACAGTGCCAATTCACCTTAGCAGAAATGAGTATATCTCCTAAGAACAGCTTACTCCTCCAGCAAAGATCTTTACTGAGCACTTCCATCAGTCAGGGGCTGTACTAGCTGCTAGAGATGTGACAGGAGGCACAGGACCTGTCCTGAGGAGTCACAGCATTGTTCTCGCTCACCCAGTTCCCAGCCTGTAATTTGTTATGCTTCATGAATTTGTCTGGCAGAGCACAGGACTCAGCAAATGGCCAGAGCCAGTCATTTTGCCAGTTACACTTCCTGTTCTCACATTAATAACTATAGTCTTGAGTCACTTGCGACTTGGGTGAGTGTAAAACAATTGCCAAACAAAATTCAACTGAGTACATTTTAAAGGTCTTGCCAATTTTATTCAGCAATTCATACATCAGGCAGTATTCACTCTAGCAGATAGAAAGAAGCTCTGAGGAACTGTACCAAATGAAATACTTTCATAGGCAGCAGGGGGCAGGGGGAACAAGGAAGTTATAATAGACAAAAAAGATTCGTTACTGCAAAGTCTCTTTATTTTAGAGGATGGCAGGGGTGTATCAGGCAGGTTACCTACGTAGGGCAGATTAGGTGATTCTTGACTGACTGGCTTAAGGTTGCATTACTGGGAGATTCCTAACTAGTTATGTTTCAATTTGGTGATACGGAGCTCAGCATAAGTGACTCCATTTTAGAGTCTTAAAAAAAGCCTATTGTCTTTTAATTTTATTTCTTTTTAGAGAAGGAGAGAAACATCTATCCATTGCCTCACACACACACACCAATTGGGACTGAACTGCAACCCAGGCATGTTCCCTAACCGGGAATCAAACCAGTGACCTTTTGCTTTCTGGGACAATGCGCAAACAACTGAGCCATACTGGACAGGGCCCTGTCATTTTGTTCTTTCGTTTGTTTTAAACTTCTACATCCATTCCATCACCTATTTTTTTAAGGATTTTATTTATTTATTTTTAGAGAGAGGGGAAGGGAAGGAGAAAGAGAGGGAGAGAAACATTGATGTGTGGTTGCTGCTCTCGTGCCCCCACTGGGGACCTGGCCTGTAACCCAGGCATGTGCCCTGACTGGGAATCAAACCAGCAAACCTTTGGTTTGCAGGCCATCGGTCAATCCACTGAGCCACACCAGCCAGGGCATGTTGTGTTGTTTTTAACACAGTCAATTCTGCCAGGTTGGACTGGCTCTGAACAAATGGCTGTAAAGTTGGGTCAGCCGATGAGGTCAGACCTCCCACGCTGGGAAGTGCTGCCAACCACCAGCAGTGGCCTGCTGCACTGCTGCTGCAGAATTGGGACTGCCCGAGTCCTACTTCCAGCCCCACTAGGGGTGCATGTGACCTTTCCTTCCCCAATGGCCCGCTGAGAGGTTGTTGAGATGATTCTTGGAAGACTAGGTCGCTGGGAGTCTTATTTTCCAAAGAGCTTGAGAAAGCAGAAATCACAGAGCCTCAGAAGGCCCTGTTTCAGGTAACAAGGGACCCTGAAGCTTAAGGTTCAATAGTTTCACAGAAAGTCCACCAATGCATTCAGTGCTAGAGGGTAAAAATATCTGGTGTCTGTGATCCAGAAGGATCAGAGGACTCTCTGGATGCTCAGAGGAAAGGAAGTAAGGATGGGAGCAACTTCGATGTTTTACTTCCTTGATCTTACTAATAAATCATACTTCCTCTTTTTCATCCCCCACATCCAACAATAGGTTTAAATGCTAGATTCTGAACTAGTCAAGGACAGAAATCATATCTCATTCATCTTTGAATCCTTGGTACTTCACACATAGCATAAACAAGATATTTGTTGAATGAATGGATGGATGAGTGAAAATGATCTCAGTCACTGCGGCTGACAGCCCCGTGTGTATCTCCCTCTCTTTTCCTTCTTGACCACCTTCTGGAGGTGGCAATGCAGTGACAAAAACACATGAGCTCTAGAATCAGACCTGAGCCTGAATCCTGATTTTGACATATACCATCAGTGTGACCTCGAGCCAGTTACTCAACATCTCAGCCTCAATGTTCTTATTGTAAAATGGAGCCCATAGTGTCTCCCCTGCAAGGTTGTGAGAATCAGCAATACTGTCTGCAAGTGCCTGGTATGTAGTACATCTCAATAAATTGTACCATACTTATTATTACTTTAGTTCAGGGTCAGGCGAACCACAGTCCACGGGCCAAGTCTGCCGTTTTTGTGAATAAAGTTCTGTTGGAACACAGCCATGTGTAATTTGTACCATCCAGCTGCTTCTGCACTGCAGCGTCAGGGTCAGGTAGCTGTGATGGAGACTGGAGAGTAAACGAAGCCTAAAATGTTCACCATCTCCCCCTTTATAGAAAAACTTTGTCAACCTCTGATTTAGGCCTTCATCACTTTACTCTTAGCTTATAATTGCCTCCTAACTGGTCTTCCTCCCATTCTCTTCTCTCTCTCCCCTGCAGCTGGTTGTTTCTCTGACATATATAATCCATTAAGGTTTTACTAAAAACAAAAAAAAAAACTTTGTTGGCTCCTCATTTTCTGCAGCTGTCTAGTACATTTTCAAAACTGCGTCGGAAACCGGCCCTGACCCTCCTCAGTAGCCTCGTCTCCCTCCACACTGTCCTCTCCGAGTCCTGCACACTGGCCAAGCCCAGGCCGCAGAGCAGGTCAGTGGCTGGTGCAGCTCTGTAACTGCTCCCCATCTCCTCTCTAAGATGTTTTTTGCTGTGTTCTCTGCTGCTCTAATGGCTTTATCTTCCAAAGCTTCTCCGTGAAGCCTATCTTGATCCTCTTCCTCTGCACCCTTATATAAATCAGGATGCATTGTGCTGCAATAACAAATAACCTCAAAATTTCAGTGATTTATGACCACAAATAAGTTGAATGAAGAACAACCATATACTCTACTCCTGGGGCATAGATGCTTTAACAAGCATTTATGATGTTTTTCTTCCACCCAATAGGGAAAAAAAAAGACAGCCTAGCCTTTTCTTTGGAACATGCTCACAGTAACTAATCACCGAATTAACAGCTAACGTGTCATTTTCCCTAAAACAAATGCTCTTGTAGAAGTTATGGTTGATAAATAACTATGAAAGGAGAACTTTATTTAAGAAAAAATGGAAAGTCTGGGTGGATTGAACTGTAAGTGAAGAATTGTGGGGGCACAAAAATCAGTTTTTCTCCTATCTAAGTTCTTCTTGTTATGGGAGAAACTCCCAGAAATATGGTGTTTTGTTTTTGTTTTTGCGTTTTGCCAATGCAGTAAAGAATTACACATTAGACCCTCGCTGGTGTAGCTCAGTGGATTGAGCACGGGCCTGTGAACCAGAGGATTGTGGTTCAATTCCCAGTCAGGGCACATGCCTGGGTTGTGGGCCAGTTCCCGGCAGGGGACCCATGAGAGGCAACCATACGTTGATGTTTCTTTCCCTCTCTCCTTCCCTTTAAAAAAAGGGGGAAAAAAAAAGAAAATGTTTTGGGGGGTGGGCTGGGATGGGAGTAAAAGACAGAATACTGTAGTTGAAAAATAATAATAATAAAAAAAGAATTATA